CCTCAGGGAACACGAAACCCACAGCAAAAGCTGTACAAACAAGCCCCTGTGACTGCTCCACCAAGCACAAGCTTGTTGTCTTATGCAGCGATCCTAGGTAAAGGACCTACGAAGCCCCGACCCAAAACAAGGGTCCAAATCTGGCGGCTACGGCGAATGTGCCTCAAGTAGCCCCCGGTTGCTCAAGTAGAAAGTGAGGATGTTTTCTCTACTTTAAAATGCCTTATTGAAATCTCCCGCGACCCAGCGGTAGATAGGCATATTCTACTGCAAGCCTTTCAAAGGGCTCTGCCAAAGGCAGGCAGACGCTCTTACGAGGGCTTCCTAATTTACGAAAGCTATGTTATGCTTTCAAATTAGAATTATTCGGCTACTTTAGACCAATGTCCTAGGTTTTTCAGAACTGTAACCTTTTCATAACAGCCTTAAATTCAGTTGTCAAAACAGACAAAGTTCTATGACCAACAGAGAACTTGGAATGAAATGAAAGGAAAACGGTCTCATCAATAAGATCGATGAGGTCAAAGACTTTATTGCAAAACACGATCTTGACGTGTTATTAGTCCAAGAGACTCACTTAACCCCAGGGAGAACTTCCATAATTGGGAATTATGACATGTACTCGACTGACAGGTATAATTAGCCAGGCAAGAAGTGGTGGCACCTGTATCTACGTGAAACGTTCGATTAAGCATCACATGATACCCCTTGATTTAAGTATTTTGAAAGCAACAATTATCAAAATTTTCCTTCAAAATTCTCCCCCACTAACAGTCATTTCGGCATACTTACCTCCACTTTCAGCTGCACGTGGAAGAAGTACTTTTCCTGTCAGTGATTTTGATAAACTTTTAACAATATCAAATCACCTAATTATTGCTGTCGATATAAATTCACATCATACCGCTTAGTTTTGCCCTAACAGGGACAGTAACTAAATTGTACCATATATAAAATTCTTGGATTATCTAATGGAAGAAAAAAGTAATAAATGTAAATATTTCAATAAATGAATGGATAAAAAATGGCCTTAAACAACCAATAGAGAAATTAATGCGAAACATTATTATTGAAACAAATGTAAATAAACACAAATTGCCGAATGTATTTAATTTGAATATCTGTTTTGGAACGAAAGGTGTAAACAGCCTTGATGTGCTTAATAACTCAGATTTGTAATGCATATATTTTTATTTCCAATGGTAGACAAAAATATATATATGTACACACTATCAAATACACATACACAAAAATATATCGCATACTAAATAACAAACAGAGAATAAGGAAGCCTATTTAGTACTTGAACATACTATTTAGTGCCTTCTAGGAACAACCACAGAGAGATCCTGTACAAAAAAAAAAAAAAAAAAAAAAAAAAAAAAAAAAAAAAAAAAAAACCGGTGGTGGAGGTTGTATCTTCGGCCTTTATTACAAAGGATGATCACAGAATTTTCAAATAGAAAGGTTTTCGCTGAATAATGACCGGGTAAAAGATAAGTTATTATGATGGAATTATCAGAAATGGACATGTAGTTGAAGAATGAAAGCTTGCTTTAAATTACGGAGATTTCTAATATATTTATTTTATTATCTAAAATTATTTTCAAATTAACAGAAAGGTACGGCATAAGTTTCAGTGATCAATTGTCAGAAAGGCTTCTTCTGGATGGCTTAATAATAATACAAGGAAATAAGCTTATTTTACACATGCCTTATGGCATAAGAAAAGGAACTTCTGAAGTATATTATATTAAGAACTAAAAAGCTGTACATATACCATAGAAATGATTTTTAACTGTAAACAAAATTACTGGTTATCATTTCGGAAACAAAATTCAATACTTGCCCATAGTAAGACCAACTTGTGAAAGATTTTTTTGCCAAACTGCAAATCATTGTGTAAGGAAGTAAATTTCCAAAAGCCATTTTGAAATTTTTAATAATATGACTAATAATCATAAGATACTACTTTTTGATCAGTAACATGGGTTGTTTGAACTAAGAAAAAAACTTTAAATTGCATCAGTATTAAAACGAGCTAATTAATTTTAAATCATAAAATACAGTGAACCGTCTGTAAGACAGCCAGGCACAGCTGCTATAAATTGTTTTCTATGGAAGTGGTTGTCTTAGGCAAAGGATAATTGATGCCAATGTTATTTATGTTGTTAAATTACCACTTTTGTCGTCCTGGTACGGTTCTCTGTCTATACATTTTGAATCTGAAATAAGGCATTCAACATGGCATGCACACTGGGTGTAAGGAAAGAGAAGCAACAGAAGAAACTGGAGAGTTTGGTTAAATGATAAAAACCAAATCCTTAATACCACTATTGACAGAGAGAGACCAAAATGCAAATAAGAAGCAAATTTCCTTAAAAGCTAACAATGAAGAGGGATTAAAATTAGACTCAATGGTTAAAACCATGGGATTTTTATTGATATAAAACATCAAATGTCAAATGAAGTGGTTCCCCCCCCCAGTATAATTTTTCGATGTGGAGAAATGGAAAACATGATTTTTTTAACTAGCAATCGTAGGCAATGCAGAATCTATGAATTTCTTTTCTTTGAACATAATTTTGTGTTTTTCAGTACAAAATTTAGGACACGCATCTCTGCTGTTTGGAGGAAACTTAAAATAGAACTCTGTGAACATGATTAGAAAAAAAAAGTACAGATCACTAAAATAAATAAAAATTTAGATTCTTTTCTTATGTTCTAACATATGTACCGTAATTTCGCACGTATAGTCCGCACGCAAGATTTTATATAAAAAAATTTCAAAAATCGTCAGATAGTCCGCACCACCGGATAGTCCGCGGACTATACGTCCGAAATTACGTTTTTTTTAATACGGCAATATTCCCATGCTTTTTAAACACATCCTTTGTTTGCGCCAATTTCTCACCGCTTTCTCGTCCACTTCAAAATAACGGGGTAAAATCCTAGTATACGGTGCAGCCTTGGCGCGACTTTGAAAATTATCGCCAACACCAAAAATGATCCAAAGAACGTCTATATATATACTATACACTATATATGTGTGTATATACATAGTATATATACTATATATGTAGTATATACTATGTTAAACTATATATTTTTTTAAATGACCCGTTAACTACTCATCGTATATGTCCCGTTTTTACTGCTCATCATAAAGTCGCCAAAAGTAGCCAAATCCCGTGTGCACCGAATACTAGGATTAAACCAATAACGGCCCGCTTCTCTATTTCCATCTTTTTCCCGGCGATGTTTCATCAACGTTATCGAAGATGAAAGACAAAATACTGTGCAACGTGCTATACTCGTCATAAGTGGTAATGAAATGTGACCTTCGACCCCACTCACTCGGTGTTGCCAAACCACGAGTAAACGAATCACGCTTTTTTTTTTTTTTTTTTTTGTACTCCAGGTACTTGCTACTATGGCTCCTAAAAACCGAGCTGACGCATCAATTACTTTTTCCCCTCCCGGCAGTTGCGCTAAAGCAGTGCGAAGGATACTGGGATACAAGACTCTGGTTGCGCTAAGTGAGTGCTCATACAAGACTTTCTTTGGCTCATATCCCGGCATCGCTTGATGCGCCAGCCTGGATTTTAGGAGCTCTACTTGCTACTACTCATTCGTTCTGCACTATGCTCTATGGTTTACTATCGATACGATACATACGAATGTTTTCTTGGAATCTCGCGCTTTTTTTATATTTGATCATCGGCAGTTCACGACAGCGTGTTTTTTAAATTTCAACGATTTTAACCGTGAACAACCAGCGTATTATCCGCACTGGTGGATAGTCCGCAGCTTCAAAAATTCGCATTTTAAACACAGATAGTCCGCGGACTATACGCGCGAAATTACGGTAATTATTACTTCAGTAGATTCTAATTTTTTTAATCTAATTATACTATTAGGCAAAATACACATTATAAATTTTCACTATTTTTATGTCATTACGTATAACTGTGCTTTTTTTTATTAACAGAAATGAGTAAAGCATATCAATACTTTTGTATCAGCAATATGAGTAAGTTTCTGTTTATTAAGACTTTTAAAGTTCTCACGAAGAATTAATTCGAATAATGGAAATAATTGACTGTAGCAAAGAGATTTATTCGTATTGTGTCCACTCTCGTATACAGCAAGAAAAAAAAATTAAATATGAAGAGCGGCCCTTATCAATTTCACAAGATTTTCCACATACAACCTTACCACAACTCCACATAAAACGTAAACAAAGTATCGAGACTTCGTAATCCCCCCTGGTACATTCGGAATAGCCAAATTCGTAAAGAGTTAAGAATAGAGGATCTTTGTGATTTTTATTGCCGCCTATCTAGGGCATTTTAAGATAAACAGGAACTTCTGGACAATCCTGTGGTTGTTAACTATTGTTATGATACTAGGGACCTCAATTTCAGTAAACGCCCAAGGGCGATCCTAAATGTTAGTAATGTGTAATTTTGTATATGTGTTATGCAAATTGTTGCTCAGATTCTTTATTGTATATTGTTCTTTATACCTCCTGATTGCTTTTTGTTTTTACTAGTGGTACTAAGGCGTCGCATTTCGTATTTTGTTTCTCTTGTGTGTACATGTATTCTTCTGTGAAATAGTTGTTAAAAAAATAGTTAATTATGTATGGATTAGTAATTAGGTACTTAAGGAAAAAATATGTATTTAACTATTAGCAATTATGATTTTAAACTCTTGTTCATTTAATTATTTAGCACATTCAGTTATATTTCTCATAATTCGAAACTTTTATCATGTTATTCGATGAGGGGTAGGGCTATGGCGCCCAGGCACCCTGGTGGTTAAGCACCGCAGTTTAAAGACTTCGTAATCGATTACAAAGTGCAAAGCTATCAGTTATTCGTCATCGATGGGGTAAGGAAAGTCTGGACCATCTGAAAAAGCGGCGACCCACTCTGTAAATTAACTTCCTTGATCCTTGATATTCTGATTGGTTGAATTTCTTCAGCTTCCGGCGGGTTTTAGCCACCCGTTGATTTTCGAGAGTAATTTTGTCTTCAGCAGACTGGCAACCATGATTGTTTAAAGTGCCGGACATTTTAAAATGATGGAATTCGTGTTACTCCATGGTAAGTGCGAAATTCTTTTCCAAGAGCAAGTAATACCATCCTCATTTCTGATAATCCTAAACTTAATGGTTAATAAATAAAAATGAAAACTTGACTGGAAATTATGATGTAAATTTTTTAAAAAATTCCTTGAAATAAAATGTGGATAATCTTTCAATATAAATTTTACTACGAAATTGTCTATTATTGTAATGTTCAAGGGACTCTGCTACAAAGCTAATGAAAATAATAAATTAAGGAATTTAAAGGCACTTTAGTGATAGAAAATTAGATTTAGTTTAGAGGAAAGAAGGATAGGTAAAATCCTAGTATAACTATATATATTCTTTGAATGACCCGTTTACTATTCATCGTATATGTTTCGTTTTTACTGCTCATCATAAAGTCGCCAAATCCCGTATGCACCGGATACTAGGATTAAGCCGAAGGGGTACTTATCTGAATATTCTGTGTCAAGCTTTGTTTTGGTTTAGTCTTGTAGAACAGAAATGGAAAACAGCGATGAAGATAGGAGTTTCCTTCTTCAGTTTGATTGAAAGATCTTCAGATTTGTTAAGATGTAACTAGAAACTATTGCATAAAAGAAAATAAAGCACTTATAGTATCAGAACATTTAAAAATATGGAAAAGAAGTTTTATGTATTGCTGCTGCATAAACATGGACATTTGGCCTGTTAAGCAAAAATTATTTATTTTTGTTATGAGGCAGCACCACTATTTATAATTTCAATAGAACAAGAAAATAAACATTTAATAATTACATATAACATTGTGATGAAGGAAAAAAATTGATTATTGCATTCTAATATGAAATTTTAATCTTAAATTGAATTTCAAATGGAAATGTGTTAGAATTATTTGAAGTTTGAAATATTAACTTTCTTAATATGAATGAAGTGTAGAAAAATGGATAGATTCAATGATTCACAACCAAATTTCTGTTTATTGATGAAATTAAAAATGATTCCAGAAAAAAAATGCAATAATTAGATTTAAATTTCCAATGAAAAGCCACATTTAATTTTAATTAGAAGTAAGTGTTTTTCATTAACATCATGCAGACATCTGAGAAGAATTAACTGAAATATTTGCTTTAAAAATATTGATTTTAAGCTCTGCTGTTGGAATATTTTGAAATTAATATTACAAATGCATTGTGGAATGTATTCCATTGTTAAATAAACTTTGCACGTTTGTCCAAGATAAAAAGTGTCCAGCATTCCTTTATAATATATCTATATATCAATCTATTTAGCTATATATAATATTTATCTCTTGCTTCTTGAAGTATGCTGCAAATAAGTAAACACATGTCTAAATTAAATATTGTTTTTTAAGTAAATTTACAACAAAAGTAATATAAAGACAAAATGATAAAAAAATAATTTTATTCAAGAGTAGGATGGCCATGAAAATCAATTGTCAGCTTGTTCTTGATTTACATATATTGCTGTTGTTATACAAAAGTATGTTTACTTTAGTACACTCATTCCTTACATTAGAGCCCACCAATGACTGAGCAGAAAAGTCACTGAACATGGGTTATTCTGTTTGAGATTCGAATCCCGGCCAACGAGCTGGCTGCATGGGTATTTTCGTGGGTTTTCCGATACATAATGTGTATTTGAGCCAGTTTCCCTTAAAATGTCCTCCACAAAGGTATCCCTTCCCTGAGGCAGGTAACCCTAGAGCATATTGCTGTAGTTAAATAAACTGAACTAAATCATTCTTTATATTGTGCAGAAATGTCATACCTGGATTACGTAGTTATCTTAAATTATTTTGGATTCACTTTCAAGCTGAAGGTCTCTCTCTCATTAGCTGGGCTATCAAGATGGAAATAAATGAACAATACCTAAGAAAGAACCAAATAAAAAATAGAACATTCTAATTATGTGGTTATTGTATCATTCATAATGATGATTATTATGTTTTGCATATAGTAATTCTTGGTCCAAATCCAAAAACATGCAGTTGTTATGTGAAACTTCAAAATTAATGATTCTGATTTTGGCACAGTGTAAGCAGCTTTAAATGTCTTATTTACATTCTGGGGGAAGAGACAACTCTCATTCCTAGTTTTCCAAGAAAGACAGCAGCAGTAGCTCTGTTTAAATATCTGACCGGACATGAGTGTTTATGAGACCAAATTGGGTTGATCTTTACAATATGGTAACTGGTAGTTTGGCCACATTTTGGAGGCGATAAAGGTTACTACCTGGGACTTTGGTAATAATGTGAGCAGTACTCAGTTCCGATTACGCATTATTTTGCGTGAGGGAAATGAGAGATCATGGGATATGTCATGTGATATTAATGGACGAATTACGGTTCTTTAATCGGAAAAGGAAGGAAGGAAATCGGGAAAAAAATCTGGAAATTTTTATTGCGTTTAGCATTTTGTATTTAGCTTCATAGTGTGTTGTGTGAAACAGTGTTGATTAATTTTTGGATCCCATGGCCCTATGTAAAGTGAATTCGAGGGAGGATATTACAGATAAGTTTGAATGGCGGTGCAAGAAATCTAGTGAAAATGGACATACAAATACGATTGAGGGCACGTGGGGTGCTATAAAAAGTGCTATTCCGAAGTATTATAAGGAGAATTTTGCTTTTTATTTAGCAGAGAAAAGTATGGTGAGAAAATATTACGCAGAAAAAAATCATTCAATAATTTTATTGAATGAATTAGAAAAGTGTATCCGCCACGTAATCAAGCTTCTGAAGAAGATTAGGTAAGTTAGTATTTTTTAATTATTTGAGGATATTATTTTTATGCATTGTTCTAAATGTAAGGTGGAAAGGAATTTGGTATTATTGGGAAAATTGTTATTAGCAATGATTAAGTTTAAAGTAATTAGGACTGTAAGGTAATTTTTATTAATTTAATGTATGTGCTCATTTATTTTTAAGTAGTGTTTTTGAATTTAATTATATTTTAATGAAATGATAGTTATTTTGTGAATTTTTATGTTTGTAGGAATTTGGTATACGTTTTAGTTGAAGTAAACGTGCATGGAAATAATTTAAATATTGACACTAAGTATTTGTAATGGTTGCGGTATGAATTCGTTGGTGACATTTATAATATAATAGATGATTTAGAGGTAAAAGTTTTTGAATATTTATTTATTTTATATGTGGAAATGTTCATATTTGTAAAGGGTAAATACTTTTTCACGATCAGGTAATTTCATATATGTTCTTTTTACCGGGCTTTTAAAGATTGAGAAAATTGTCATGTATTTTCGTGAAATTTTTCTAATTTATGAAAAAAAGCAGTGTACATGGATATAGTGAAGAGTGTGCGCAATGCCATTTTTTTTGCAATTCTGGGATGTTTTTTTAAGTAAAAATAAGTCGGGCGTGTACATGGTTTATGTGTATGTGTTATTTTGAAAAAACGCGTAAGGAGTATGGTATTGTGGCACTTTTTCCTAATTTTTCAGTGAATATTTGTCATGATTAAGCAGTTTTTGTTTGATAAAATTTCTAGCATAAGTGTAATTCGGCTAGTAGATTATTGGAAGAAGTGTTCAATAGATAAAAAGAAAAGAAAACATGTCTTTACTTCGTGAAGACAAAATGGCGGCGGGGAAAAAAAATAGAGGGTTGCTGTAGGAGAGTTGGTTGCCAAATTTTCGCCAAAAAATCGCCAAGTTACCATAATGTAAAGATCAACCCCAAATTGGAGTAGTGGATTCACCAAACTGTGTTTTGTGTGACTCCAATCAACCTGTGATTTTTGAACATTTAAATAAATCTATTGCACTTTCTTGGTATGAGAACATTGTTTAAAAGTACTGGAGAGCCTTGAACTAATGGCTTAAGATCTAATGTTTGGCATTTGTAATTAAAAATATCTTTATTAAAATATGTACTTTAATGCACAGATAGTTTAAACAACTGTTTTTAAGCGACCTGGAATTACTTTGGGATTGAGATAATTGCTGGTCACTCCCAAGGTAATTATAACTTAACATCCTTTTGGTACAACTCTAATATACGCCCTAATTTCACCAAATGTGGCGATATGTGTTCTGCGCTGGTTTTTGGCGCGATTGCGTGTTCTATGGCAACCCTGTTGACGTTGAAAAATCTTTTGCTGGAGCTCGTTGGTTCGCCTCTGTGTCTGAGAAGATGGGAGGGAAAGATAAAATGGTAGTTGTTGAATTGAAGTTCGGCAAAAGGAAATATGATTGTGGCTATCCTGTTGAGGGGTAGTTGGGTATTTGGAAGTGTGGAAAGAGGTCTGGAAGATTATTTTTAATGGCAGTGCATGATAGAAGTAGGGATTTGTAATTTTATTATTTGTGAACCGTAGTATAAATTTTCTGGATAGTGTGTCTGGCTGTCATGTAATACAATAGTGATTACGTGGCAGCATGAAATTTATATTCTGCTATTCAAAACTCATTAATTCATGGTAAGTGCATTTATTTTATCCTGTTCTCATTTTGTAGAATGTTTGTTCATTGGTTCTTTAGTATGAATTTCTGTCGTTATTGTTGTTTTTTTAAATTGTTTGAAATTTATTTTAGTTTTTATTTTGTGTTTAGTGTCTAGACTGTACGATTCGTAGATGTTTTTTTAAAGTTTGAAACAGAACGCTGTGTACATGGTATTTTTGAAATTTATTGTTGTTATGTTATTTTATTAAAGCGAGGAGTGCGTAGATTCCTTCCTTGCCTAAATTGTGCAATTCGTAGAATTTTTTTAAAGTTTAAACAGGATGCTGTGTTCATGGTATTCTTTGAAATATATTGTTGTTATGTTAATTTATTAAAGCGAGGTGTGTGTAGTTTGTAGATTCGTTCGTTACCTACATTGCGCAATTTGTAGATGTTTTTTCAAGTTAAAACATGTCGCTGTGTACATGGATTCTTGTCAAATATTTTTGGTTAGAAACTTTACGTTTTTGCTATCTAAATTTTTTGTTTTTGTTTCGGATTTTTAGCTAAATTGTGTGTTCAAAACATAGTTTTTGCATGTGCGAAAAC